GGCCCCCGGTACGGCAGGATCCGGACTCCGGCCCGGACTACGAGGCGCTGCCGGCTGGAGCCACTGTCACCACGCACATGGTGGCGGGCGCCGTGGCAGGGATCCTGGAGCACTGCGTGATGTACCCCATCGACTGCGTCAAGGTGAGACCTGGCCCTGCTCCGAACTTCACCTGGGGCTGACCCGACCCCTGCCCGGAGCCAGGATCCCAGCCGAGAGCCGGAGCTGACCAAAGTCCCTTTCTGGCTCCTGCCACCACACTATTCGAAGCACACACCTATGCAAGAAAGGTCCCGGCCGGGACCTGATCCCAGTCAGAAGCCAGGACCAATTTCTCACCGTCAGTGAGATCTAATTGGGACTCTGGAAAGAAAATCTGTCAGCCAAAACCCTGGATCCCAACTGGGACTAAATAGGAATAGGGTACTGAGCACCCTCAGTAGGATCTTAATGGCTAGAGATGTTCTCTGGCCAGTGCTTTTACAAGCTCCTTGCTGTGTTTTCCCTTAAAAGTGATGGGGCAGGAACCAGAATCTGGGATCTCTCAACTAGAGGAAGTATTTACTTATTAAATCTTAACCCATGAGTGATTGGAAATCATTGTGCAGTCAGAATTCAGAGTTCCTGACTGGAAATAATATGGGAAAGACCATGTTCAGGAAAAAGTTTCGGTTTCTCTGTGCAGCAAGCATGATACTCCACCTATTTCCTGAACATGAAAATTGAGCTGGGATTGGGATTGTGTATATGCAGGGAGCACATCAGCCCTCCAAGGAGAGATGGACCTCATAGTGTTATTTCTTTAGCCACTTGAAGTTGACAAAAAGGGAAAAGTTGTCTAGAAGGGAAGCATGACAATACTGGAAAGTAGATGTTACTGTGAAGAAAATAAAATGGGATCAACAAGAGGGCATGATTCGTGTGAAAGTAAAATTAATTTCAGCCACACCAAGCAGGCTGATGAGTGGGTACAAGAAGTCATGTTTCTGAAGAAAGCTGGGTGACGAGGGGAACACATTGTTCTTTACAGTTCTTATTCTTGTGCATTAGCAAAGGAACAACCAAGGGGACTGTTGAAATAAATATAATGACAGAGACTGGTTCCTCCTTTACATGTTAAGGGCAATATAGTTAAACAATATCCTCACAGCTCTTGGATGTATGCTTTCTTCTCAAATTAGGAAAAAGTGACATATTCAGGAGGAGAATATCTACTTGGAAGATGCAAAGTCTTTCTCTTCTGCTCCCTGGTTCCAGTACTGTTTCATGTTTTCATTAGTAAGGTGGATGAGGAAATGGAGAAAGTGCTCCTTAAGCTTTGTGAATGACACCGAGTTGGTAGGAGTATCCAAGCACATTGCAAGGTAACTCCTACCAAGGGCCATACCCTTGAAACTGTGGTAAATGCACTTGGCTAAAATGGATATTAGAATTTTTTTTTTTTTAGATTTTTTTCTTTTGATGTAGACCGTTTTTAAAGTCTTTATTGAATTTGTTACAATATCGCACCTGTTTTATGTTTTGGTTTTTTGGCCCCGAGGCATGTGGGATCTTAGCTCACCGACCAGGGATTGAACCTGCACCCCCTGCATTGGAAGGCCAAGTCTTAACCACTGGACCGCCAGGGAAGTCCCTAGAATTTTAAATACGCATGTCAATTGTGAGGAATAGAAATAAATAGTTAAATCCATGAGAGAGAAGTAAGAGGATGGCTAATGCTCTAACAATATTGAAATGTCATACATGTAAGTACAAATAAAAAAGATTCAGACATGTATGTAACAGAGTCTAGATTGAATGACTGTGAGTCGTTAATGCTGTATATCCCACTGTGAGTTGTTAATGCTGTATATCCAAAAGTAAACATGATTTAACTGCAAAGTAACCTCACTATACTTGGACTGTGAGTAAAGTCCAAGATAGTCTAGGGTGCTGTCTTTCAGGATGGGTATCAAATGAAAACTAGATCAAGGACAGTAATGAAAATTATTGAATGGCTTGAAAACTACAATGTAATAATGTGACTGACTTAGAAATATTACCTCAGAAATAGTACCTCAGCTTATCAATTTAAGTGTTGTCCCACTACCTTAGGAGACTATCTCCTTACTCCATATATTTACATAACGCTAATGTTGTTGTGAACATTTTATAACTTCCTCTGTTAGAAATGCCTCTAGAATACTTGGCTATATATCCTTAAATGGGGCAAGTGTTTGTCTGTGACATGACAGAGTTGATGTTTTAGTAATTGAGACCATTCAGAATCAAGTGTGGCAGTTCAGGTGGGAGATCAAAATGGGTAATGATGAATGGGGTCAAAGATAAGGTAGGACTGGAAAGCAAGGAGACTGATTTACTCCTGAGGTTGATAAACCCACTGAGGGAACGTTTTGGAAAGAGGAGTTCCAGAAATATTTTGCATAACTGCAGCAGCATTGCTGGAATAAGTCGCTTGTAGCCTTCCAAGATAACTGTTTTGAAGAACAGTTCTTATTCATTTGCATAAGCTTTGGAATTTTTGTTTTTAAAAAATTAGTAATACAACATTACAGTCATGCCTCAAAGCACTACATTAAAGAAATAATTATTTCATCTGGAGGAAAAAATGCTCAGGAGTCTTCAAAAACACAAAAGCGTGTTTTAGAAGAATCATTTTCATTTGCCATTAATGCTGGGATTTAAATGATTAGAGGGAAAAACTAGGTGAGCCTATCAAGATTTAGTGTCAGTAAACATTGTTTACAGTAGACACTGTTGTGCAGGCGTGAAAATAAAATTCAAATCTCTTCCTTCAGAAAGGGCTTTGCAGTTCACTTGTCCTTGCGTAGCTATGCTTCCTCTTCTACCATAAATAGGTGGTGGAGAGGAAGAGCAGCCCAACATACCCTAACACTAGAGTCAGGTATCTGTGTTGGAGCCTAAAGGGCAACCACAGTGTTTGCAAGTGAAAGTTGATAGTGACTCTTGGCATGCAAGCCTGTGCACCCCCAAACCGCTTATCAGGGTCAAGTCGACTTAAAATATCCTTGGGAAGGACCATGGGAAGTCAGCATAGCCTTGCTAGGCTATAGTTAGTCAACCAGTGATTTTCATGGTCCTAATAGGGAGGTTTGGGAGCCCAAGTGAATCCCAGTATTCCTTTTCTGGGCTTCAGAGACAAGCACCAGACTTTATCTAAAGGGATAGGTTCTACAGCGTAAAGCAGTCAAAACTCTTCTCAAAATCATCTGGCTAAGCACTTGTCACCAAGGTGCTGCTTTTTGGCTTTGTAGTCGTGAAGCAAATAATCTACTTATATAATAAGTTAAGGAGGGAAAGAACAAAGGGAAGTAAATCTTTTCCAAACTCCAGATGTAAATGTTTATCTATATACATTCACCAGTGGACAGTTAGGAAATGGAAACATTGGCTTATTTGATTTTCTTATATCTAATAATGAGTAGTCAGTAAATGGCAATTGCTCATGTTTGTCAAGTACTATCTGATGTGCCTTGATATTTACTGATTTAATCATTGGAACAACTTCATGAAGTAAATACCATTTTCATTATTTTATAGATGAAGAAAACAGGCAAGTAACTTGCCCAAGGTCACATAATTAGTGGCAGAGTCATGATTTAAACTCAGTCTGACTCCCAAGCCTTCCATACAGGCTCCCAAAAGCAGATTTCCAGAACCAAGCAAGGCACAGAATTTCACAATTGTGCTCCTTCCTAAACATGACCTATAGATGAACAGCTGGACATATAAATCATAGACACAGAGGAACTTTAAAATGAAAACAAAAAATACAAAATCAAGCCTGATTTGTTAGTGGTTAAAGACCAGTTAGTTGCCCATGCATATTTGCAAAATGACTTATACACGAGACAACACTGCCATGATCTGTAAATTCTGAGATATGAACTAATATTTCTGAGAAACATAGTTGAATACAATAAGAAGCCTTATATTTCTAGCACCGCAGAAATTAGCAATGGCTTTTACTTGCCTTAACTCTGAATCTCCACAACAGCACTCTGAGTCAGCCATTCTTAGTCTCATGTTACAGATGACATTGCTGAAGCTCAGAGGTTAAGTGACATACCCAAGACCACAGTTTTGGTGTAGCAACAAAGAAGAATATCCATGATTATCTGAAATAGCTAAAATATTTCTCCCATTTCTTTTTCTCGGCAGTCCGGGGGCCTCTCACTGCTGTGGCCTCTCCCGCTGCAGAGCACAGGCTCCGGACGCACAGGCTCAGCGGCCATGGCTAACGGGCCCAGCCGCTCTGCGGCATGTGGGATCTTCCCGGACCGGGGCACGAACCCGCATCCCCTGCGTCGGCAGGCGGACTCTCAACCACTGCGCCACCAGGGACACCCCGTTCGGCTTTTCTTCAAAGTCAGGCAGTGTGTTTTATTTTTATGTTGAAGACTATTCACTAATCCTTAGAGATTTCATCTTTAAGAGGTTTTCATCTTTCTGTGAAAGAGATTTATTGGCCCTCAAATTTGGGGAGCCACATTTGTTTGTATATTTGGTGTGGCTTATGCCTGGGTCCTCTCCATGAGGGTGTATTTTCACTGAGTTAGAATTGTGAGTTAGATTTAGACGTGTGTGTAAAATTTTCATTGTAACTTACACACAGTCCAGGTTTCTCTTGTGGGTAAATGGTTCCAGGACTCTGAGGCCAGACCTTTAAGACTAGTTACCCAAATATGCTATTGACTCCAGCAGCACAGTGCAATTTCTAAACATTCCCCCAATACAAGATTAGGTTTTTTTTTTAAATTTTATTTATTTATTTATTTTTGGCTGTGTTGGGTCTTCATTGCTGCACGCGGGCTTTCTCTAGTTGCAGCGAGCAGGGGCTACTCTTCATTGTGGTGCGCAGGCTTCTCATCACGGTGGCTTCTCGTTGCAGAGCACAGGCTCTAGGTGTGCGGGCTCTAGAGCGCAGGCTCAGTAGTTGTGGCGTACGGGCTTAGTTGCTCCGCAGCATGTGGGATCTTCCCGGACCAGGGCGCGAACCCACGTCTCCTGATTGGCAGGCAGATTCTTAACCACTGCACCACCAGGGAAGTCCCTTTTTTTTTTTAATTGAGAAGTAGAAAAGAATGTCACATTGTGATAAGTGGTATTGTATATTTCTGATTGAACCTCAATAATCTTTTAAGCTACCAGTTCTTTGTTGGTAGCAGGAAGGAGAAAATAACTAGAGGAATGTGGATTGCTTGCAGCTAACCAGGATTTGTTAATCTGGTTAGTTCATTTTTTTCCCATGCTTTTGAGAAGATGCATTACTCTTGGATTTCAGATGGCCAACAGGAAGGTTCAAGCTTTTAAATCCAGATTGAATCAGTGACGGGAATGAAGTAGGAATTTAAACTGTACTTGGGCGTTAGTTGCCCCTATTGGCTCATTAATGGCCTTTTTGAACTGGTGCAGACAAAGCTAAGATTCATTCATTCTTTCATTCATTCAGTCATTCAACAAACAAATCTTGAGTGCCTACTGTGTTCCAGGCACTGGACATTGATTTTTTTTTTTAGTATTTAATTAATTAATTTTTTTGGCTGTGTCGGGTCTTAGTTGTGGCACATGGGATCTTTTTGTTGCGGCACGGGCTCTGTTGCCATGCGCAAGCTTCTCTCTAATTGTGGCGTGCAGGTTTTCTCTCTCTAGTTGTGGTGCGCGGGCTCCAGGGCACGTGGGCTCTTTAGTTTGCGGCATGCGGGTGCTCTAGTTGAGATGCGTGGGCTCAGTTGCCCTGCGGCATGTGGGATCTTAGTTCCTTGACCAGGGATCAAACCTGCGTCCCCTGCATTGGAAGGTGGATTCTTTACCACTGGACCACCAGGGAAGTCCCTGGACATTGATTTTATACTATCTGGTAGTCTCCATGCCACCCTAACCTTGAAATAGATCAATAGACAAGAGATCTGCATTGGAGACTCATCCTTCAGAGAAGGTCTGTGATTTGGGAAGTATTTCAAGTAAGATTAATTTCCCAGATTTCAGTATCTACCATATACATTCATTCCAGTCATTGACTCCTCTAGAGATTCCAAGGGTTATGTTTCACTGAGACTAATTTTATTCATTGATGCCAGTTTTGGGATTCAGTCAGTTTAGATTAGAAATCTGGAATCTCCCTCAGTTTTAGAGAATAGATTGGTATCCACGTTCATAGTTTGAGGGTAAACTTTCTTTTCCAGGAAATTAGAGCCGCATCTATTAGGAACACTACTTCTGCCAAAATTTTAACTTACAGCCCCAGCTGCCAATGCCAAATAGTCTGAAGAAGCCAGATTATCATCAAGGTTATATCGAAGGATGAGCTGTCATCTCATTAGTCAGTGTAGTATGTGGCCAGGAAGCAGGCCCAGGATCAGTCTTCAGAAATAATAAAGTATGTTGTAGACAGTAAATAGTTGACTTTAGAATCCACTTGTAAAGAACTCTTAGCCTGAGTTTATTAAGACACAAAAGCAACTTCTCCTGAAACACAGGCTTAATATTTGTTGCTGGGTTCAAGAACGCTTACCAAGGGGCGATATTTTGAGGGAAAATAATGGTGTTCCACTCCTAGGGTCATAGGTGATCAGAAAAAGAAAGGTCCAGCCAAGGCTTGGAAAGACTGCACATAGATTTGGAAGGCAGTAAAACTGGATGCCAGGTATCACTTCTACATATTGGCGTGATTTCACATAGGTCTGCCCAGTGCCCAAGCCTGAGTGTTGAGATTGGGTGCGCAGTCAGCATCACTGACACTGCACTTCTCCCTTCTGTACTTTCAGACCCGGATGCAGAGCCTACAGCCTGATCCAGCTGCCCGCTATCGCAATGTGTTGGAGGCCCTCTGGAGGATTATAAGAACGGAGGGGCTGTGGAGGCCCATGCGAGGCCTGAACGTCACAGCAACTGGCGCAGGGCCCGCCCACGCCCTCTATTTTGCCTGCTATGAAAAGTTAAAAAAGACACTGAGTGATGTAATCCACCCTGGGGGCAATAGCCATATTGCCAATGGTATTGAGCCTTCCTGTGCTGGTTCCCCCACTTTCCCAACTCTTTGGGCTTTGCTGTTGTCAGTGCTTTCCAGTCTCAGCATGATTTGAAGCTGAAGCTTTGGGCTGGAGTAGGCCAGATTATAGGGGAGGGACTTCCAAACCTGATGTTCTCAGACAGTGGGCTGCGTCAACCCCACCCCTTCTTTGGGGCATCTCAACAAAGGGTTACAATATCCTCCCTTACATACTAGCTTGACTCTTTCCTCTCATTTTCTCCCTGGTATCAGCTTCTGATGCCCTGGTATTGTGGAGACACACACTGAACTGCCCCCGTTGTGTATTTCTTGGTAGTTGGGTGGTATCCCGCTCCTCAGGGCAGGATTGGAGGTAACCCAGCCACCCAAGGAAGACATCAGTGGAGCTTCAGCTCTTCGCCTCACCTTTTCAGGATCCCAGCTGCCCACAGGCAGTTTGTGTCATGGAGGACATGACAAGCCCTCAACAAGTGAATGGTGCTGGGGCCGGGGGCCTTCTGTACAAAGAAACCAGAGGGTTGGAGGTTGTGTGGAAGTAATGGAAGGGATGGCAGCCTGGAGAAAACCAAAGTGAAAGTGGAGAGGAGAGGGTGAGGGATACGGTAGTTCAGGACCTGAGGGAAAGGTCTAGATGGACAGATGTTAGGATTTGGAGACTGGGGTTGGGCAGCGTGCGGCAGCAGGATAGAAGGTGAGATTCTGTGGTGGAGATCTAACTACCTGCCCCTCGTGCTCTCCCGCCACTGGAAGCGGTTGATGTGCTGGCATCCCTTGGCCACAGTGTATCTGCTTCCTGTCTGGAGCATGAACTGCATTTATTCTCAGAGCCATCTTTGTTGAAAAAAATCTGGGCTGTTTCTCAGACTCTTCCTGGCCTTCCTATCATAGCTGTGGAAGGTAGATTGATGGCCTTACTAAGTTAGAGGGAACAAGTATCTTCATTTCTCTGAACAGGCATTTAGAAGCAGTGGGTTCCATCTTTTAAACTGGCTCTTAACATTCCCTCTCCCTGCTGTGGTTTATCACAGCTACGCCCCTTCACTCTGGGTCCTCCATGAGTCTGTCACCCTTTCCTGGCCTTACATGTGGCAGTTGTTTTTTCCTTTGCAGGTGCGGCCGGGTGTGTGGCAACATTACTTCATGACGCAGCCATGAATCCAGCAGAAGGTAATGATTCCTCACCCTTTCCCTCTGTGGGCAGCTGCATCTACATCTCTGGGCTTTTCCTTTATTCTTGGTTTGCAGGAGAAAGCCAGGGAGCGCACCCCATCAGTTTTGGTGGGAAATCCTGGCGTGTTACATTGTCTTACCACTAGAGGGCACTCCCTCCATGTTGTCCGTGCTTAGGAGGGTTCCCTTAGACGGGAAGCATATTCAGTGAGATTTATTCACCTGGGGCTTCCCTGGAAAAAAGTATGGCTCTATGTGGCCTATTCCTGGGCCTTCCTGGAAGTCCGCTTTATAGTGGATTTGATGTAAAAAATTTAGCAGATTATTTCACTTTTCTTCAAAAAGGTGAAGATGGATTATGACATTTGAAAATACTGCCTGTCTTGTTGGAATGAAGAATGGCTGAGATAGGAATGAAAAGTACATTGGTAGAGCTTAGTCCCTGCACTGCTGCTTGGATCTTGGCTTTTCAGTTGGAGAATGAGGTACCCAAACAAATATGAAAGGATAGCACAGTTGCCAGGTTCCTTAAAGTTCCAGTTCTTTACCTGTCTGGGCAAGGCCATGGCAAGGAAAGAGCCAAAGCTGAACTGAAGATCATACCTGAGCTTATACATGTATCTACTGGAGGGGGCAGGAGATGTCTGGAAACTAAAGCCGTCCCCTTCTTGACTAAGAATTTTGTTTTTGGTAGCCCTTCTCCTCTTCCTGTGGAAGGATGAGATCCTCATGTTGTAAGAGTTCAGTGTTCTGTGTACCTGAGGACTGGGATTGTTAGGGCTATGTGTTCATTATTATGTTCACTGCCACTGAATCACTTCTTGTCTTAAGAGTTACGAAAGGGTAAGATGGTAACAATAATAGGTAGGTACTTAATTCAAGGAAACCCTCCAGAGTCTAAACTGTAGATATATCCTATATGTTAATTGGCTGGTATTAAAGAAATCCTACTAGAATTGGGTCCATTGTTTTTTAGCCCTTTATCACCCTCTCCTATCCCCTCCTCTCAAAAAAGCAAAACCTTCACTAATCAGACTGACAATTCACTCAGACTTTTTTCTCTCTCCAATCCATTGGCTGATCTACTGACTTGGGACTCCGAATCTGGACACTCCTGCTCACCGGTTGATTGCTGTCACCGTTCGCTTCTTCTCATTGATGGCACCGCCAGTGGTGAAGCAGAGGATGCAAATGTACAACTCACCGTACCACCGGGTGACAGACTGTGTACGGGCAGTGTGGCAAAATGAAGGGGCCGGGGCCTTTTACCGCAGCTACACCACGCAGCTAACCATGAACGTTCCCTTCCAAGCCATTCATTTCATGACCTATGAATTCCTGCAGGAGCACTTTAACCCCCAGAGACGGTACAACCCCAGCTCCCACGTCCTCTCCGGAGCCTGTGCAGGAGCTGTAGCTGCCGCTGCCACAACCCCACTGGACGTTTGCAAAACACTGCTCAACACCCAGGAATCCCTGGCTTTGAACTCAAACATTACAGGACACATCACAGGCATGGCTAGTGCCTTCAGGACGGTGTATCAAGTCGGCGGGGTGACCGCCTACTTCCGAGGGGTGCAGGCGAGAGTAATTTACCAGATCCCCTCCACAGCCATCGCATGGTCTGTGTATGAGTTCTTCAAATACCTAATCACTAAACGGCAAGAAGAGTGGAGGGCAGCCAAGTGAAGCGGCACTCAGTGGAGCCAGGGTTCGGCCAGCACTGCTGCTCTGCCCACTCCAGCCACGTTCTCTGTCTCTGTCCCGGCACGCTCCAGCCTCAGGCGGGGTGGGAAGGAAGGCAGGGGGCTCTCTCCCCCAGGATCTTGGTGTTTTGGCTGACACCAGTTCCTGCCGCCCTCCGTCGTCGCCACCTTTGCTTCCGGGCCCTAAGCAAGTGCAGCAAGTCACACCACAGCATCTCTGACACTCTCTCCTTCCTGGGCCTGGTGACCTGCTCTAGACTGTTACAGAGGGATAAGCAGCTCATTCCCCTGGTTCCTAATAAAAGCCTTTAAATTAAACGGTTTCATTGGGTTTGTCTTGCCAAAGGGGAAGTGAAATGCTGTCAACTGTTCTTGACTAAGCGTAAATCAAGGGGCCCACGGGGAAGGTTTATTGCGTATATCGGTAGTTTTTGTTTCTGCTGTTTTCATGGCGATTTAAGACTTTGGGGCCCTACTCCCCCGTTTTTAGTAATAGGCTCCAAGGAATCTCCCTGATGGCAGGAATGACGGGCCTTAGGCAGATCCCAGCTAAGCAGGTGCTCTTGACCCCCACTATTGCCTTTTCCCCAGGGCAGTGGCGTGGCACAGAAGAGGGAGATCTCTCTGCTCTAATTCTCAGCTCTGCCTGCAGCAGTAAAACTTTCCACACGGCCCTTGGTTTTCTAATGTAGTTGTAAAGCTAAAATTAGTGCAGCTGCAAGTCCTGAAGATGCTGTGGTAAATAATAACAGTACCTCTCATTTTATTTTAAGGCTTTTACAAAGTACTTTCATATACATGATCTCCTTTGGTTCTCACAAAATCTGAAGTAGGCAGTGCAGGTGTCATCTCTATTTTACAGGTAAGGAAAGCTCAGAGAGGCCGTGACTGGCTCAAGGTCTCACAGTAAATACAGAACTGGGACCCCAACCCAGATCTTTTGTCCCCAGAAGTGAATCTAATTGTGCCTTCCTGCAGATAGGAAATGAGCGGAGGGCATGTACTCTACCTGCCATCTGAAGGAGCTCCCTGCCGACAGCCACTTGGGCTCTGGATACTTACAGGGACAGGGCTTTCACTGTGCTTTGGGCGTCAGTCTGTTCCTTTTTGTGTAACTGAACCAGTTATTAGCAAGTTCTTCAGTACATAGAGTGGAAGTTACCCCCCTGAAACTTCTATCATCTTTGCATCTGTCATTCATTCAGTAACTACTGAGTGTCTGTGTCAGGCGCTGGTGTTGGGCACACGATGATAAATAACCTCCCCCCCCCAAAAAAAAAAATTTAAAAAAATCCAAAAAACAACATTCCAGCGCTCAAGGAGCCTGTTGTCTGGAGTAGAAGATACATAAAAACAGGCAATTACAAGATAAAATGACAAGAAATGTGATAGGGTAAAACTAGACAGTCGTTTGGAGGACAGAATACCAGCCTGGCTGTGGGTGATGGCGTAGGCTTTTGGAGGAAAGTGACATCTGAGGTGACACCTGGAAGGCAAATGAGCTAACTGTGAAGGAGGGCGGGGAAATGTTCTAGGCAAAGACCTGGAGGTAAGAGAATGAGAAGCATTTGGGGTTCAGTGTGCAAGGGGTTTAGTGGGGCTGACAGCCTGGGCAACGCATGCAGCTAGAAAGCCAAGTGGGGGCTGGGTGTTAAAAGCAATGCTAAGGAGTTTAGACTTTATCCTGAAGGCAGTGCAGAGGCATTACAGGGTTTTAAGCAGAGGTGTGGTGCGATGAGATTTACAACTGAAACATCACTTAGGCTCTCTGAGAAAGGATTAGAGGAGCAAGACTGGACAGGCAGGCAGACTGGGGAGGAGGCTGTTGCAGTCTGCATCCAGGCAAGGCTGCATGGTGGTCTGTGCAGGGACGGTGGTGAGGGAGACAGAGAAAAGTGCCTGACTGGAGCAAGGTTAGGGTTGCAGATCAGCAGGGTTCGGTTACAGAGTAAATCTTGTTCTCCTTCCACCTGACAGCCCTTCAAGTATCTATGGAGAATCATGTCTGAATGCACTTGAAACAAACTGTCAAGAAAACAGCAGGGTCTCCTTTTCTAAGCCTTAAGTAAGCTCTCCTGGCCCTCTGATTTAGCGCTGAAGAGAGATGTTAACAGTGCCAAATGGTGGCCACTGGAGTTGAATCACCTGTGGAGTAAAAAGAGCATGATGAAGTCATTGCAGAGGTCATTTCAGAGGGTTTGCTTGTAAAGTTTAAGAGAATAGCTGCCTCCCAGCATGGAGTAAGCACGAGAACAAAGGGATGCCTCCCCAAACCTTAGCCCTGTAGTGAGCTTTCCAGAGTTACTGCCTGGCGTGGTACCCGGACCACAGCAGACACTGTGGCAATAAGGCCCACTTTTCAAGAAAAGGACACGGGGTATTTTCAGAAAGAATGGAAGTCACTAAAGACCCCCTCAGCTCTAATGCTTTAATAACAAATAATGAGGAAAGAGCGCAAAGTGACCTTCCAGTCTCCAACTGTGTTCTAGCTGCTGGATGAGTTTGGAATTTGGACAGGGCATTAGATTCTGTAGGTCTCTGGGCCCAATCACTGGAGAAGACAGAGGCAGAACACTGTGATGGGGTCGAGAGTCTGGATGCCAGTGAATGGGCACCTGGGTCAGGAACCAAGCCTCACTTTCATGGGCTCACCACACCCATGAGAACTGTGGGCTTTGGGGGTCTCTCCAAGCCCAGAGTCTTCCTGGAAAGCCAGGTAGGTTATGTGGCACCGGCAAGACCCAGCTCCAAGCCACCATCAAGGGGTCGATTCCTGCACAGTGCTATCCAAAGCGGAAAGTGAGAAAATAAGTCACAATTTGGCCAGAGAAAACTTTTCTTAATCTGACATACAAGACCAATGTGAACGAAACAATCTTGTATTAACACAAAGCAGTATATAGTCATGTATTGGGTTGGCCAAAAAGTTCATTTGGTTTTTTCCGTAAGATGGCTCCAGTAGTGCTTAGTTGTCTTTAACTTCATTCGAAACAATTTTGTTAGACTGTATTGTGACAGCTATCATATCAGTGTGCATTTAAAAAAAAATTATCAAAATTGGTGAATTTTTGTGTAACCATTTTAATATTGAAGAGGGAAGAAAAAAAGCAACGTTTTCGGCATACTATGCTTTATTATCCCAAGAAAGGTAAAAATGCAACTGAAATGCAAAAAAAGATTTGTGCAATGTATGGAGAAGGTGCTGTGACTGATCAAACATGTCAAAAATGGTTTGTGAAGTTTCATGCTGGAGATTTTCTGCTGGACGATGCTCCAGAGTTGGGTAGACCAGTTGAAGTTGATAGCAATTAAATCGAGACATAATTGAGAATAATCAATGTTACACCACACGGGAAACAGCCGACATACTCAAAATATCCAAATCAAGTGTTGAAAATCATTTGCACCAGCTTAGTTATGCTAATCGCTTTGGTGTTTGGGTTCCACATAAGTGAAAAAAACCTTCTTGACCGTATTTCCACATGCAATTCTCTACTTAAATGGAAGGAAAACGTTGTTTTTAAAACAAATTGTGATGGGCAATGAAAAGTGGATACTGTACAATAATGTGGAACAGAAGAGATCGTGGGGCAAGCGAAATGAACCACCACAAACCACACCAAAGGCCGGTGTTCATCCAAAGACGGTGATGTTGTATATATGGTGGAATTGGAAGGGAGTCTTTCTTTTTTTTAACAATCGCTTTTATTTATTTTTGGTTGCGTTGGGTCTTCGTTGCTGCGCGCGGGCTTTCTCTAGTTGCATCAAGTGGGGGCTACTCTTCATTGCAGCGAGCGGGCTTCTCACCACTATGGCTTCTCTTCTTGCAGAGCACAGGCTCTAGGCGCACGGGCTTCAGTAGTTGTGGCTCGTGGGCTCTAGAGCACAGGCTCAGTAGTTGTGGTGCACGGGCTTAGTTGCTCCGCAGCATGTGGGATCTTCCCGGACCAGGGATCGAACCCATGTCCCCTGCATTGGCAGGCGGATTCTTAACCACTGCACCACCAGGGAAGTCCCAGGAGTCTTCTATTATGAGCTTTTTCCGGAAAACCAAACGATTAATTCCAACAAGTACTGCTCCCAATTAGACCAACTGAAAGCAGCACTTGACGAGAAGCACCTGGAATTAGTCAACAGAAAACACATAATCTTCCATCACGATAATGCAAGACTGCATGTTTCTTTGATGACCAGGCAAAAACTGTTACAGCTTGGCTGGGAAGTTCTGATTCATTGCCATATTCACCAGACATTGCACCTCTGGATTTCCATTTACTTCTGTCTTTACAAAATTCTCTTAATGGAAAAAAATTTAATTCCCTGGAAGACTGTAAAAGGTACCTGGAACAGTTCTTTGCTCAAAAAGATAAAAAGTTTTGGGAAGATGGGATTATGAAGCTGCCTGAAAAATGGTGGAAGGTAGGGGAACAAAACGGTGGATATGTTGTTCAATAAAGTTCTTGGTGAAAATGAAAAATGTGTCTTTTATTTTTACTTTAAAAACCGAAGGAACCTTTTGGCCAACCCAAGACTAGACTACATGGAACAAACAATGAGACTGAGAAACAGAAAAGATGAGATTAGTGTAGGTCAGAGTTAATGAGGAAGAGGTGGCTTTGATGAATAGTAAAATGGAAAAAAAAAAATTTTGTAAAAGCCAATCAAAGGTCATGCTAATTTTATAAAATTTAGAAAACACAGAGTAAAAGAAAATACCTCCAATCCTATTACCCAGAGAATATGACATTTTGATGTGCACATAATCTAGTACTTTTTCTATGCATTATTTTTTGTTAATTTTCAAAAATCGGACCACACTGTAAACAGCTTCTTTTACATAACAGTATATAATGCCCATCTTTCCACATTATTAAATTTTCTTCCATCACCTCAATGTAAATGACCACACAACATTCCATTGTACAAATGTACAGCAGCTTATTCAGTCAGTCCCTTGGTGTGCCTTCATACTAAGTTATTCTCAAGAGCATTGCCATGGGAGGTAGAATATGAATGACAAAAAGGAGAGCAGGGTAGTTACAGAGAGAAGGTTCAGAGTGGGGAGACAGTTTGGTGCCACCTCCCAGCAGGAACTGAAGAGATCCTGACTGGAGACCAGGGTGCAAGTTAAGGGATGGAAAGGGGTAAGGCTGGCCAGCGAGAATGTCAGAGGTAGGAGGGTTCTTAGAAGTCATCCCTCCTTGAGCCCCACTTCACGCTACAGCATCCCTGACATACCCACTCCTGGGTCTGGGAGCACACTGCTGCCCAAAGCCATCCGTGTCATCGCTGCAAAGTTCACGGGTTAGAAAGTT